TACGATAAGATAAGAATTTAGTTTTGGAGATAGAGCCTCGCGAGATCAACGGGTACCAACCGAACCTCCAGACTACTGATCTCATAAGATCAACAAGATACGATCAAGGCTTGAGTTCAAGAACTTCAAGAGACCAGTGGATAATCACCTGGTTTCGAACTTAGACACTGCAAGAAGTCAATTTACCCCAAAAACATTTTAATGTACAACAAAGCAGTTTCAGGATCAGCAAATAACAATACGTCGAGGGATTTCAAAGGTACGAGAATAGAAATCATAACGAAATCAACGTATCTCATCCAAGTTTGGTGGACAGCGATATTCTACCTTTCACAAAAGGAACATTTTGTATATGTACAACCCTTCAACGAGAACAATATAGCGCTGCGTTGAAAGCTGATGCCTGACTTTTCAAAAGTAGATCTGATGGATGCTTGTACGTAAGTTGTATAGAATGCATACACACATCGCATAATACATCCCTACATTAGAATTGTAGCTTTTGTTTATAGCCCTTCGGTATACTTGCTGACACAACACTAAACATTCAGGATGGACATATGGAAATATATAAACCGTTTTGTTTCTAAATTAGCTTGTGGACTGAATAAATTCGCATCGTGTATTGTGAGTTAATAATAGGATGTAATCCCTATTGATATCTCTACTAATATTATAAACATGGAAGTGTGTATGTAAACAGCTGAACTGATTGTAATGAATTTAAGCATACATATTCAGTGAGGTTCAAATTTGGCTCACGTCATAATATGTACGAGAAAGAAGCGTGAGAAGCATGTTATGTGCATGTTAGAAAAAGTGCGCTGATGGCAACGCGGCAAGGTGCAATTGCGTCAATGGCCTCGTCACTCGGGTTACTAGGCAACGAGGTGGTTCTATCTTTTTCTAACACACGTATTGCATGCGTCCTGACCCTTCTGTCTTGTACACATTTCGTCGTCAGTGGATATGGGTTTCACTGTAGATTAGACCTTGAAGACGGACATAGGCTACCATTTGCTGTGTCGGCTTGAAGGAGTAAAAACTACTATAGAAAAAACATTGTAAGCTTCTTCAAGTTTTGGTAGAGAATTTTGAATATTTCAAATTAATCCACCCTAAAAGTAGGAGTATACTTTATCTTCAATATTACCTTTCAAATAATTATTAAAAAAGACGGGGGTTGAATGAATATTTCTATGGGGAATCTTATTACTATTCATGTTATGGGTCATTATACAGGGTGGCGCATCGGAAACGAAACAGACGCATTTACTGGCAGCTCAGTCTTTTTGTGGAAAAACGCTCAGACCCATCGATTTTGTTTTCGAGGGGGACACAAGTTAGGCAAAAAATCACGTTAACACGTGCAGTACCCGCAAATTAGAAACTATGTGTGGTCTTATACGACGTACTGTCCAACGGATTCTAAAGGCCCATAGTTTTCATCCATATAAAATTCACACACAACTGAAGTACATTGATTTTATATCATTATAAGGGGAATTGAAAGACCTTTAAAATAAGGTATGACTCGACCCCCCTTTCCATTTAAGATTTTAGGGTTGGTGTCACCCCCACCCAGGGGGCTGCACGTGTTAACCTGATTTTTTGCCAAACTTGAGTCCCCCTCGAAAACAAAATCGACGGGTCTGAGCGTTTTTCCAAAAAAAGCTGAGCTTCCAGTAAATGCGTCTGTTTCGTTTTCGATGTGCCACCCTGTATATGTAGATGTGAAAAGATTCTCGCTCTTTAGTCACGAAATGCCGAAAACTGTTTAAACTATGAACAATAAATTTCGCAGAGAGGTAGTTTATGCACAAAACGTATCAGGTAAGAACGGATTTCAAGACTGAGCCTGAACAGGGGGCTAAGGGCAGATAGAGATCCCAAAATCTTAAAATCTATGAGGGCTATGAACGTGCAATTTGGTAGGAAGGTAGCCTGCAGGCAGGACATCTCAGTTGAGAAGAGATTTCACAACGGGGCCGGATTAAGGAATGGCAAATATAAATAAAAATGAAAGGTTACACACTAATCACGAAACATCGGAAACTATTTAACTTATGAACATGACATTTGGTGGAGAGGTAGTTCATGGAGATGTAATGTAAAAACAGGGCTGTGCTGAGGCTTTATAAGCTGCATTTTATTTCTTGTATCATGATGATGAAAGTCAGTATTTGCCTTATAAATTTATTATTTATTTATTATTATTTACTAACGTCCATTTTTGTATAAACTGAATTTTCATATATAGTCAAGGCAAATAAAGTCAATAAAGGACCCAATATACAACCCTGGGGAATCACTTTTTTATAGTTAGCTGTTGGGTCTTAGCTTGGCCTACATAAAATTCTTGGTATCTATCAGTTAGGTAAGATGTGACAATATTTTCAGCAGCTCCTCTATTACCGTATTTCGTAAGCTTAGTGAGAAGGATTTTATGACTGTCATAGTCATCATCCTTCGATAGATCAGTGAATACTGACGTGTAAGTATTCATATTTGCATATCCTCACCTGAATTAGTTATTGCATTCGCGGTACTTTACCCAGATCTAAAGCCACATTGGCAATTTCTGAGGACATCAATCTTGTCTATGTAACATGCTAGTTGAACTAATATATCGTACTATAGTATCTGAGAGAAACTGGATATGGATATCTAAAGTTTTCTTTTTAGAAATAGTGAAACTTGTATTAGTTGTATCTACTAATTTCTCCAGAATAAAATGAAGGCAATCAATGACTAAAGATGTAGTTATACTGTCGATGTCGGCAGTATTTTGCTTTTTAATTCCGTGATTTGTGCTTCGACATCTGCATTAGTAACAGATCTAAAATGTATAGTGTCACATTCTGGTCTAATGTACCATGTACAGAGATCAGAAGTTCTAACGCGATTTTTCACAAGTTCGTCCATATTATCAATGAAAAATTTGTTAAGAACATTGACATTGATGTCATAGTCAAACTTTGGCTTTCTACTTCTACTGCATTCGCTAGATATACTAAGTGACATATAAATCCGAACACCCAGTTTAAATGATTTTATTTTAATAAAAGTTGGTGAATGTATTTATCTTACTGTAAATAACAAGTGAAAAAATTTTCAGCCTTATCAGTTGGACATTCCGGTTTTTATACTGCTTTTTTTTAATTCACTAACGCTCTAAAAATGAATATTTCAGCCGCACTAAAGAATCAACGTGGGCGGATTTTGGTTCTTGACATCCTTTACAATCGGTTACGATGCCTAGAGTACGGAGACCTGTACGATTTCGTCAACTTAGTGAGTTTGATAGGTGCCGTATAGTGGGACTTCGGGAAGCTGGACTTTCTTTTCGGGCAATTGCAGTTAGAGTGCAAAGAAGTGTGGTTAGGTGTTGTCAGGCATGGCTTCGAGAAGGCCGTGCGCAAAGAGCAAGGGGCACTGGACGCCGCCGTAGAACAACAGACCGGGAAGATCACCGCCTAAGATTATTGGCCTTAAGGGACCGTTTCTCCACTACCAGGTCCATTGCAAATGAATGGTTTGCAGAACACGGAAGAGCTATTGGCATGCGAAGTGTTTACCGACGAATGAGAAGTTTTGGCTTGTTTTCATACCGGCCACACTGGGTCCTCCCTTTAACTTGAGAACACCGACGTAATCGCCTTGAGTGGTGCAGACAACGGTCACTCTGGGATCAGGAATGGAACAGTATTGTCTTTAGTGACGAGTCTCGATTTTGTTTAGGCATGCACGATGGTCGTGCCAGGGTTAGAAGGCGACGTGGTGAAAGGAGGAATCCACAGTTTTGTGTTGAAAGACATATTCATCACACTGTTGGAGTTATGGTTTGGGGTGCTATAGCTTATGGTTCCAGGTCACCTTTAATCTTCATCAGAGGTAACATGAACGCGCAGCGTTATATCCACGAAGTTCTAGAACCCCATCTTTTACCCTATCTTGACACCCTGGCAGATCCAACTTTCCAACAAGATAATGCCCGACCACATGTTGCAAGAGTCACAATAGACTTCTTTCAACATAATGATGTCACATTGTTACCATGGCCACCAAGATCTCCCGACTTCTCCCCAATTGAGCACGTGTGGGTTATGATGGATAGGAGATTGCTCAATTTGCAACGCACTCCTCAGACTCTAGAAGCACTTCGAGAGGAGTTGGTGGTTGCCTGGAATGAGATACCACAGGAGGAGATTGACCACCTGATCAGAAGCATGCCTAGGCACGTTGGAGAATGCGTAGCACATCAGGGTGCATCCACACATTATTAAAGGTCAAAGGGCTTTAAAGCAGTGCAATCAGTTTGAAATTTTTATCATTTACTTATTATGCTTCATTAAGTACTTATACAAAATTTTATTAAAATAAAGCCATTTAAACTGGGTGTTCGGATTTATATGTCACTTAGTATATACATATATATGTATACCGGCCCAGATAGACTAGTTTTTCAATTAGGTTTTTATTGTTTCTAATGCGGAAATTTTATAATTTTTCAATCCGTAATAATCAAGGAGAGGCCCTTCACACACAGACTGTAGAAACCCTGGATAAGTTAGGATTAGATATAAGAAGGAAGGCTCTGCAAGGGACCTGGTCGTATGTTCGGCTTACCTTCCTTACGATTCAAGAGAGCCTCCTCTGTCTAAGGAAATGGGGGACCTTGTCGCATTCTGTAGGGATTCTGGACTCGACCTCGTGATTGGATGTGACAGCAATCCCATCACGTTATGTGGGACAGCTTGAATACCAACAGACGGGGCGAAGACCTCATGGAGTTCCTAGGGGCATCGAACCTTGAGGTTCTGAATGTCGGTAACATGCCACTCTTTCAGCAATACTGTTAAGAGAAGAGGTTATCGACGTAACACTGTGCACGCTTAACTTAGCTCAGAACATTAGGGACTGGAAAGTGTCTCTAACACCCTCTCTATCGGACCACAGGTATATACTGTTTAAGACTGGCGGGGATATTCCAGATAAATATGCTCGGAATCCTAGGCATACTAGATGGGGGTCCTTTAGGACAGACCTTGACAGTAAGCTTGTAGCGATCCCATACAGACTTTGTAAGGGCTCTGACATAGAAGCAGCCATCGAGTCTCTGAGCAGGGACTTGACGGCTTCATATGAGGGAAACTGCCCGTTACGCAAAGTTCAAGGTAAGGGCAAGGCAACCTTCTGGTCCAAAGAATTAGAGGGTAGAAAACGAGCGGTGCACAAACTTCTTAGCAAAGTTAAGCACAGGAGAAGTTCTCCTCTATGGGAAGACTACAAACAGGCATTGCAGGAGTATAAAAAGGAGATAAGAAGGGCCTCCAGAGAATCCTGGAGGAACTTCTGTCAGTCCATAAATGACATTCCTGCTACTGCGAGAATACACAAGGTCCTATGCAAAGACATTAAAGCAAGATCGGGATCTCTGCATGATCCTTCGGGGGGAAATTCTACTTCTGAGAAAGGTACTCTGAGGCTTCTGATGGACACGCACTTCCCCGGTTCCACAGTAGCGCGATCAATCACAGAGTGTAGGCAGTTGCGCAGGCCCTCAGGGGAGGACTGGCGCACGGCAAGGGAGATTGTCACCTTCGAAAGGACGGTATGGGCAGTAGATTCGTTTGCTCCATACAAAAGTCCAGGTCTGGACGGCGACTTTCCGGCCATGTTATAGCAGGGACGGAGTACGGTTGTTCCTTACCTGTTGACGGAGTTTCGAGTATGTGTGGCCACGGGCTTCACACCTAGAAGCTGGCGGCAGGCTAAAGAGGTATTCATTGCTAAACCAAGCAAAGCTAGATATACTGACCCGAATGATTTTCGTCCGATTACTCTTTCATCTTTTGTGCTTAAGACACTGGAAAGGATAGTTGATAGATACTTAAGGGATGGCCCGCTGGGAAAGGTGTGTCATTCATGCATACCAAGCTGGGAAATCGACTGATCTGGCCTTACACAATCTGGTCTGTAGGCTGGAGAAGACTCTAGATCAGCGAGAAGTGGCACTCGTGGCCTTTTTGGACATTGAAGGTGCGTTTAATTGCACCACAACCGACTCTATCAGACATGCCTTGGTTAGACACGGGGATGGATCAATCCTAATAGATTGGGTCCTATCTACTCTGGATAGTCGAGTAACAACAGCTATGCATGACGTAAGCTGCAGCATCAGCGTAGCTAGAGGCTGCCCTCAGGACGGAGTTCTGTCACCCCTACTGTGGTGCATCGTGGTGAACGAACTCCTAGTTAGGCTCAGTAGTGTCGGTGTCTACGTGCAAGCCTATGCTGATGACGTCAGCATAGTAGTTAGGGGACGTTTTTGTAGAACAGTCTCGAAAATTATGCAGGGCGCTCTGCGCTCTGTGGAATCGTGGTGTAGGGAAGTCGATCTTTCTGTTAATGCTGAAAAGACCGAGCTGATCCTATTCACTAGGAGAAGACGGGCTGGTCATGCCGACCTTCTTTGGGACTAGATTAATCCTGTCCCAATCAGTGAAATATCTGGGAATTATCCTGGATTGCAAACTGAACTGGAGAGAGCATGTTGAATATAAGGTTAGCAAGGCTCGCAATTCAATCTGGGCCTGTAAACGCGTTCTCGGTGTAAGGTGGGGGCTTAAACCCAAAGTAGTATACTGGCTCTACACGACGATAGTACGTCCATCTCTCTTGTGCAGCTCCCTGGTCTGGTGACCTTGCATTAGAACTGAGACTACTAAGGCCAAACTCAATAAAATTTAGCGTTTGGCCTGTATTAGCAGGTAGTCGCTCATCGACTGTGGAGTCAGGGCAGCTGGGCTTTCTTGAATCCTGTTAAGGGGCATACTGCCATCTTAGTCGAATTGCAAAGGGAGGACCCCGTCCTTCTAAGCAGGGGTGATCGTATTACCCCTAAATATCGCTTCGACCGCAAGTTTACTGTGGAGTATCCATCGAGGGAGGAGTGGAACGCCGGTAGCCGAGGACTCTCCGGAGTGAGCGGGCAGGTTTGGTACACGGATGGCTCGGTCACCGAAGAGGGCTCAGGTGTTGGGGTCTCTGGGCCTAGAACCAGGCTATCTCTGCCTCTCGGTGGATACACCACTATTTTCCAGGCGGAAATCTTAGCGATTCTGGCTTGTGTATCTCACATTCTGGAGGAGGGTGGGCCTAGGAGAAGAATAACAATCTTATCCGACAGCCAGGCTGCAATGAAAGCACTAAGTGACTGTAAGATTACTTCGAGTCTTGTATTGCAATGCAGGGAGGCTCTGGATTGCCTCGCAGCCAGGCATCCGGTATCGTTAATGTGGGTACCGGGGCACGCTGGGATAAGGGGCAATGAGGCGGCAAGTATCTCCAGACATCTCCGTTAGGCACGGGAACTCATTGAATGGCCCAGTGCTAAGGATAGACGTTTCTGCCTATCTCTGGATAGAGCCTACCTAAGGTCTGGCCATAACACGTTGAGGCGCCATCTGCACGTGATGGGAGTGGCTGAGAATCCCTTGTGTGAACGGGGGAAGGCAGACTATACTGGGGTCCATTACTTTGGACCCTCAGGACGTCAAGGAGCTAACAGCATTGAGCGAATTATGTGAGATCATTTAAAAGAAAGAAGAATACGTTGTACACGTTTGGGATGATTCTACGTATAAACAGAAAACGGAGTATTACAACATTACAAAAATTCAAGACCTAGATCACCGCTGTCCTCGTGTTATTTTCGCATCAGTAGCGCCCTTGGGCATCATGCTCAGTAAATAATCATTTGAACAATCTGGAATTCAAGTTTAGGATCCTCCAGGATCTTGGCTATTTTCCGTCACAGCGAAAAGTGCACAAGTTTGCTTTCGAAGATGAAATTATAACTCGCTGACTTGATTGCTTCTTGGATATGGTGAAGTGTGTTTAATATGAAGAATATTAAACATTGTTTGCATTTGACAAAACTTATAGTTTGCCCTCCGCATTGGATTTCTTAGTGTCAATTCATACGTGACCTAATAAACCCATACCGTACAGGTTTGTCGTTCTCATTATGAGATTTTACATTGCCAAACTCAACGAATTCAGACCAGGTAGAAGGAGCCAGTTAAAGTTTTGATTGTCCCATTATTCTCATGGCCTGTAATGAGGATCAAGCGCATTTGACATAAGTAAATTTTGTGCAAGTTCTCATTTTTTTTTTTTTTATACTCCAACTACCACGAAGGCCTAAGGCCTAAGCACCCATTGGGTACCGTGGGGCTATGGGGGATACATGGGAAAGGGGGACGCCACACGGACTCTGGCGAGGGAACACGTGTGCATGCAACATGCACACATTCTGGCTCCGCCTACGAGAACCGTCGGGTGGTACCTCCGCGTTCGACAGTCAGAGACCATCTACCACCTACGGACAATCACAACATCCATGGCCAAGAGAAACATTTCTCCTGGGACGGGACTCGAACCCGCACAGCGCACGGCGGCTGATCAGGAGACCGAAGAGTCTACTACTGCGGCCACCGCTGCTGCCTAAAACAAACACACAACATCTATGGCGAAGGCGAGATTCGAACTCGCGGCCCGGCCGGCCGGCTGATCAGTAGCACGACACTCTGACCCACGCGGCCAACCGAGGTCCCATACATTGAATTTATATTTTTAGTGCTGTGTTTTAAAAAGTGCGATTTTGGCGACAAACAACGTAATGTACATATGTAGGGTTGGCTACTCCTAACCTATTCGAATTCGTTGAGCAAACACTAGCTTACTATATATACATATGTACATATGTATATACAGGGTGACTTCGAAGTTGAGTCATTTATTTTAACAGTGAGTAGATCTGATCAAAAGAAATGTTTTTTTCCTTTACCATTTTTCTGGTAAAATTAAAGTAACAAAGTTATAGCCCTTTGGAAGTTTGAGTACCGCCCTGTCTCAATGATAATATTATGTGCTCGTGTTTGGCGACAACGGATATAATCCGCCATCGGTTAATCGCATCGGAAACAAAAAAGCGAAAGAATTTGGAACGATGTTTTTACAATTATTTTATTCAGTTGTGTTGTGTACACTCAGTGTACAGACGGTAACGCGTCAGTGAATAGTAGTGTCTGTTGCGTGGCTCAAACGAAATAAAAAATGGCACATGTTTATGCGGATCGGTTTCCCAATCGAGTGCAACCAACCCCTCGTGCCTTTGTTAATGTAGTACAACGGGCTCGTGAATCAGGTGACTTAAGACGGCATGCCGGTGCTCCAAGACCTCGCGATCAAATACAGGTCCGCACTGAAATACTTGTCGGGAGGATACTTTATAAAACAAGGTAATTTTTTTTTTAATTTTTTTTTTATTTTTACACACATATTTTGGTTTATCTTCCTTCTACAATGATTATCTGAAAATTAATGACTCAACTTCAAAGTCACCCTGTATATATATATATATATATATATATATATATTGTTGAGACGTGGTCATTGTCGTTAAGACCAGTTAGGTGAAAAAATAAAGCTTCTGCCTTTTGTTGGGTACTTCGATAGAATTCAAGCAAAGGCGACACTTTATTCTTTATTAATCTCTAGCTTTCAATCCGTTTTAATTTATTCCTGACATACAGTAGTGTGTAGTTTATATTAATTTTGACAAATGTACCATGTATCCAACATTCACCAGGTTACTGGGTGTATCCCTCAACCAAAACGTTAATAACATTTAGCAACAACCTCACCTACTACTGTGAGTTAATTTAAAATCATTTTGCGCAATAGTTGCTATTTCTTCTCAATGTTATTGCAGCTCATGATGAAGATGACATAGTCCATTGAATGCTAGACCAAGTCAGACTAGGCACGTGTGAGATAATGTGGAGGTTGTCAGTGGAAAAAAAGATGAAATCTCGGGAAATTTTTCAATAGTTGATAGTTTTAAAATCTCCAAATTTATTCCAAAATCAATCAACGCTATTTTTATAAAAAAAACTTTCAAAATGATTTAAAAATTAATAATAAAATAATTCCATCCTAATCGAACCTCCTCCGTCCAGTTTTTTATTCGTCGACTATGTGTTCC